AATTCATATGAAAACTTTGTTGTTATCTATTCCTAAGCAATATCTCATAACTCTTATGCAGTGGCTCAAAATTCTGGTCATCGAACCATGCGATCAGAATCAGCACACCTTTTCTTTAAGCTTCCTTTGATTCTTCAAAAACATCAAAATGTAATTACATTACATCATGTATTAAGAATCTCCAAAAGAGACTTAATAGAGTTAGATAACGGACTTTACCTGATGTAGAGTCAAACTTTTGACTTTACCATCCTCATGAGGCTTCAGGTAAATTCGGCAGCTTAGCAACCAATGCCCCTTTCCTTTGGCAATAGGCACATATGGACTCTTTGGGAATGGTACATGGGACTATCTCAGACTTAGCCTTTCTCTTTACCATTTGGTCAACCTAGTTGACTATGGCCGATCCCTTTCTATTGGGAAGAGAAAGTTTCTCTGGATTTCCAGTGTCACCATTGTCAATATCCATGAAGTTTTGGGAAGTCGATCTTCTAATCAAATTTGCTTTGCCAGTGTTCCAAATCATTGCTGATTCAGCAGCACCAAGCAAATAGATAAGATCATTAAAGGGTCATGTCGTGATCTGTCATCAGAGAGTGACTAAAGAACCAAGTCAACAGCCAGCTACCTCGAGACTTCGACACCCGACTCTCCCGGCTTGTCAATATGTGACTTAATCTCCAAGACCTAAGCACATATAGACTTTGTTTGCCAACAGGGATTGAGTGACTTAGAACTTATCAAGTCTTGAAACTTGTGGGATAGGAAGAATTATTGAAGGAGGTGGAGGAAATGAAGTATGATTTCCAGTCCCATTAGTGCTCAATAAAGGGATTAGTCTTTCACCTTGATTGCCTTTTGGGATATCATCTTCATTAGGAAGCTTGTTCCTAAAGATTTGGGAAGACCATAGTTGTCTAAACTAGACATCTATAAGGGAGAAATTCAAGTTAGTTGATTTAAAGTCCTTAATATAACACCCAATATGAAATATTAAGGCTACGATCCAACAACCTATTTATAACTGGAAGAGGGATGTCGTAATCCGAGTTATAAAATAGTTGAAGGTAGGTAAATGACGATTTACTAATTTCCACCATGAAAAACAAAAATATAATTAAGTTTTAATTGGATTTGAAACTCCTAGATCTTTTGAGATACATTGAACTTTCAATGGCATGTTTGAATCTCGATTGTGCCCTCTCAAGTTTGTGACTGGGATGCCGAGGATCACAAACAAGGTGTGAATAACCATGCAAATTGACTTGGTACCCTTAACTTTATCACCTAATTGATGTGCCGGTTAACCACACACGCTCCACCGATCTATAATAAAGTCAAGTTACCCTTTGCCACACTTACTAGTCCTTATTAGTCTGCCGGTTAACCACACACGCTCCACTAACGACTTGGTAAGGTACAAAGTGTAATTTCATGGGTTAGCACCTATTTCACATTTTCCTAAGTAACTAAGATTGGGAATTTATAAGTGTTTAGTTACTTAGTATTTATCATTATACTTTTAATGAAGGGAGAATTATAGTCCTTTCCTACCCGTTCGGCTAACGACCCTCCACCAGTCAAGGAAGCGGTGGGTGAGAGTGGACACCCATTAAACTGTCATTTTATAGGCAGTAACCTTATACCCCCCTTATAGACCGGCTTCATGAATGAGGCGTACTAATGGTAAGATTGACTTTATCTTATACATATCTATATAAATTAAATTATAATAATAGTATAAGGGTGTATTTTAAACATTTAAAATACTTGGTAGTTTAATCTATTAATTTAAACTATACTCTTAATTTAATTAAACTTAAACCATGTCTTTATGGAATTATTAACTCTTTTAATTAAACACTTTAATTAATTTAATGAAGTCCATAAAGTTTGAATTTTAGTTTTTACAATTCTAAGGGTTCAATTTGGAATTAAAGTATACATGAAGAGTAACTTTACAAATTCCAAAACTTGAGGGCAAGTTTTGAAACTATTCAAGACTTTTCATTTCATAACTTATGAGTTTAATGTACATTAAAATGAAGACTCTTCATTTTTATGTAACTCCTTATCTTTTAATGACATCTTTAAAGAAGTGACTCTTTAACATCCATAACTTGAGGATAAGTTATGGAGTGATAATACTATTTAATGAAAAAGACTCTTCACTTTTATGTAACCTATGACGCTTTTATGAGTTTTAAGATTCATAAATATGACTTTTCATATAACTTGAAGACAAGTTACGAAACATATTTTAAGAACTAACTCTAGATTAATTTGGATTAAAAACAACTAAAACACAATTTTTTTCATTAATCTAAACTAACTCATAAATCAAGGAAACATAAAAAACTTTTGGTAATCCATAACTTGAGGACAAGTTATGGAGTCCATACAATTTCATTGAGATCAAGAATTATACTAACAAACAATTTGCACATAATTCCTATGATCTACCAAAACTTCATAAGCATGAACATGCATAATCAACAATTTTTCAAGAATCACATAAACATATATAAAACTTGAAACTTTGATTATAGCATTGAAATTGGTTTAACATAATCATTACCACATTAAAAAACAGGTTTTATAAGACCAAAACAATCAAAGGTAATGATTCTAGATCAATTCCAGCACCAAAACTCGAAGATATGCTGTTTGGGGATCCAACTGGTCGAGTGCATGAACCAACTCGGCGAGTTGGATGCATTTTGTCTTGGACTCGTCGAGTCCCTTAATGGACTCGTCGAGTCCCCTGTTCAGACAGCACAAAACTTCGATTTTTAAGCAGTTTGCATCAAGTATAAGTGAAAACAAGCCTAGGCTCTGATACCACTATTGGGTTTTGTGCATTCTAACACTCCTAAGGTGTACATGCAACCCTAAATACCTTGGATCTATGTTTTCTCTATTATACATGCAAATATCAATTTCCAAGGTATTGTTCTAACTAGCATAATATAAAGTACATATAATACAAAATCTAGTAGAATTACATACCTCTTGTTTGGTGCTTGATTCCATGGAGCTTAAGAGCCTAGTGCCCCAAGTGTGACACCTCAAATGGTTCACACAACATCATATGCACTTGGAATAACTTAGAGAGAAATCATCACTTTATGAAATTGGCTTGCCCTCACTTGTTTCTCTAGTGGCCGATTTTGCACAAAATAAGATGCTTATATAGTTGTTACAATTAGGGTAAACCCTAATTGTCATGGCTTTCCATTTCCTTGGATCCATGGGTTCAAATACACCATGGAGCATCCATGGAGCATCCTAATGGGTTTTAGCCCAACTTGATAATCCATGGAGCATTAGCCCACTATATAAGTATGGATGATTTACACAATCAACCCATATATTTAATTAGTCTTCTTTTGATCACTTAATTAATTCTAGATTAATTCTTGATCAATACTAATTAAATAATCTTTATTAATATATTAGAACTTATAATATATTAATAAGCCTTAAGTGTTATTTCTCTCATTTTAGTCTATCCAAATGCAAGATGCCATGCAACCCAAATGGACCATGCCGGGTCGGGTCAAGTACAAACCAATTATAGTTATGGACTTAGACACTAATCCAACACAAACATCATACATTAAAGATACCAACATACATTGTTTACAAATTGTACTTGTTCATCGATTACACAAAAATAACATAAAGTATGATGTCTCAAAAAGAGTAGCAAAATATCCAGATCCACGGCTTGAGTACCTGTTCACTGAGTCCCTGAGAATACAAGTCGTTTTGAAAAGCGTCAACATAGAATGTTGGTGAGTTCATAAGCATATTTGTAGGAAAAACTTTGTAAATATCTTTGCTTATAATGAGTTGCAAAAGTTCCAGAAAATCCAATATTTTCTATAAAAGTAGTTTGTGAGTCTCGTTCCAAAACTGTGTATAGTTGCATGCATGTTCTTTATTTTCCTTTGTTTGTATTAGAAAGAGTGTGATTTTCTGTATATAAAATAGTTGTGGTCTTAAAACCGTAAGACCAGAGTGATGAAATTAGTTTACAAGGTGAACAAAACATATCTTTGTGTTTTATAAACCTAGTAGAGTGTATATTCGTCGTAAACCCAAATTAATATAATCCTTCTCTATGTGAGTCGTTACAACCATACTAATATGACTAAAGCGCCTGTCTTGACGTTCACTACTAGAAAAACAGTGTTTTACGACGCGCAATGTGTGTCGTAAAACGCTCAGACGATGCGCAAATGTGTGTCAGGGAAGGCCATGTCATAACGAGAGACGACGCGTTTTTGCGCGTCGTCTATTTACGACGTGCATTTACGACGCTCATTTACGACACACAATGCGTATCAAGGAAGGCCCTGTCATAAAGAAAAACGACACGCATTTGCGTGTCTTAACCTTACGACGCGCATTTAGGACACACATTGCATATCATTAAATCCCCTGCCAAGAAAGGTCATGTCATAAATGAAGATGACAGAAATTTTTGCGTATCGTAATTTTAAATGTTTAAAAAAATGTTATTTATAGATTTACCAATTTTCAAATTAAATTTGTATTTAATGTCTCATAATAGAAAATAAAATATCATATACAAAAAATACAATCCATTGCATAAAATTTAATGTCATACAAATAATCGTTCCATGGAAAGATAAAACAAATCAATAGAAGTTGTAACAAAAATTTACAAACTAATTAGATACAAAAAATACAATCCATTGCCCCTTTGCTTATTCAAGATCAACCTGCAAGTAGCTAACTAATCTTTACAAATTCACCCTTGTTTCTAATCATTTTCTTAAATACTTTAAAAACATAATTCATCCATAGTACCTGAACTATAGTTGCAACCTTGTTTCTTCTTCTTCTTCTTCTGAACTCATCTCTTGCAACCATTTCTCTAAGCCTAGTCTGAATAGATACAACAACTCCTTGTTAATTATGTGAAAAAGACAACCGGAATGGCATACCTTCATAATAGCAACAACATAACTTCATAATAGCAACAGTAAATTACTAGTTTGCCCATCCATCCAAAACGACTACACAAAACAATACACATGTTTCAGAAGGCAACATAGGGGTATTTTGGTCTTTTTAACAAAGTGGTGATATTGAATTGATACCAGTGTAGAAGGTTTATCTAGACCAACATTAAGAACTGGAAAATACATCCATTCACTAGATTCCACCTCACCATTCGAATCCTGAACAATTGAGAAATTTAGATATTTACGAACATAAATAAAAATAAAAATACAAGCAATTTACATGAGATGAAGATTGATGTCGATTATGCCATGCAGACCACTTCTGTAATAACTCCTCAAGCTTCTGTTTACTCTCTCTCATACAAACATGTTATACACTTAAAAATGTATATTAGAAATATCTTCAACCAATGTATATAAAAATGTGTGGTGTTTAAATAATTTGAGAATATAAACATGTAATTATGAAGCATTAAACAATATTGTTTTTTTCCTTTATACATTTTTAAAGAATTATAAATGACATGAACTGAAGCTTGCTGTTCATCAACAGTTATTCGAGGTCTCTTAATAGCTACCATGTCAATGGAAAAACATATTATAGTAACAAGCTAAGATATAATTATATTTAACTAAGTAGAAATAAACGTATAAATATATAAAAAAAAAAAGGAAATTACTGTATCTAATTATGGATTACTAATTCTACAAAGAAATTGCTGTATCACACTGTATATCTTCTGAGGTGATCAATTCTAGCCATGTCCAAGCTCCTCAACAAGCACAGACCTTATCTTTCCTTGCCATTGATATGTACGTATCACTCATCTTTTCGATACTCAAGGTAGTTATTGACTATGGCTTTTCATTCCAACCATACAAGCTCATGTTGTTTAACAAAATCCTTAAAAGCAGGTTTCAAGGGCGATCATGTCCTTTTCCAAATAAATAAATAAATAAATAAATAAATACCTATTGTGAAAATGTAAGGCGGACTAGAAAGAATATGATGAATGTAGTTATGCTTCCCAGTTCCCACAGCCACCATTATAACAATTCATGGTTGAAAGGAATAAATAAATACCTATTTGTGAAAATGTACAGGGGCATTTCTGGTAAATAAGCGTCACCATAGTGAATTTCTGGTAAAAAATCACAACTTATATTTCACAAGCTCTACACAATGTTCCTGGTCATGGCCATGTCCATTTTACTCCAGGAGGGTATTCCTGTAATTTTGTGCAACATCATTAAAAGTGGACACTTTACTTAATTTAAAAAACATTTAACAGAAGCCCACAAACCTGGAATGACAATGTTGGAGGCAATTTTAAAGTATGAGATTGCATTGACTCATTAAGTAGACTGTTGACTGCTACTGGCCCAGTTATAGCCTTCAGGTAAAGAAGAAATGAAGTCATGAGCATAGGCTTGGTTGGCTGCATCCACCCATCCTTTGTTCCTTTGCACCACTGCCCCTGCCCTTCGTGAATTTCCTTTTTGCCAATCCGGTTTGTCCCTTGTTTTGAAACTTGAAAGAAAGAAATTGAATCAAAAGCTTTCATACCTTTGATATCAAAAACAAACATGAAACCTTTCTAAATGTAAATATAATCTAGTCTTTTCTAAGCATTTTCACAGTCCATCACCAAATCTTTTAACAATATAAATCATATCAAAAAATATGGATCCTTTCATTTTACTTTGTTAACACCTACTTAATAATTAAGAACCATTGATCAGTTGCTCCAATTTTTTGTCTTGATATCTCTTATTTGAAAAACACAGGAAACAGAGAAAACATGTGCAAAAGTGAAAACCATACGCTCATATGATGAATTTTAATTTCTTACTGTCCTTATTCTGCTCTCACTTAGAAGCATCTTCTACTTACTTTCTTGTATATTTTATTATTATACTCACCAAGTACTTCAGGTAATGAAACAAGCTGAGAAATAGCCATGCTCCCATAACAATGTCCATTCCTTTAAAAGGATACTCCTTGCTGTACCTGTTAACCACAACAACAGAAAAAGCTTATGAAGACCTTGGAAACAACCACCATTCATGTATTTATCAATATCTGCAAAATAAAGATGGTCATTTAGTGTATCATTCAGAGTAGGA